CCAGCCTCGGTGGCTCGGTGCACTGTTGCCAAATTCCAGGTTTAAAAAGGAAGAAACCCCAACGGCAACCGCACAGGTCTGCAGAGATAAAAAGACAGGTCACTCCCAGGTGACTGAGGGGACAAAGAACCCAAGCGCTCGCCTCTTAAAACACTTCCCCGTCGCTGCGACCGATGCTGCAGGGGGTCAGGCCTGAAGCCAGCCAGGCCAGGGTAGACATGGCCACCGTTTGGGATCCCTTTCTGCGCCTCTGCCCTCCGGTGCCGAGGCCCGACGGCGATTTCAGGAGCTTGGCGACGGTCCTGGCGTGTGCCATACCCTCGCCATAACCACCTGGGCAGATGGAGCGGCACGAGAGGAGGCGGGGGGGGGGGTCTCCAGCAGGCAGGGGCCACCGAAGAGGTAACACAGGTTTTTGGACTCACTTAGGGTTCCCCTGGCCGCCCGCCATCGGTCAGGCCACGCCGTCTTTCCGCAAACCAACTTCTACGGATCCCATCGGGCCGTCATATGGATCCCACGGGGACATAACCCAAGACGTACAGACACGACCGTCCACGCAAGCCGTCGGAAATGTTTTTAAAGGCTTTTATTTACAGTGCTAGTTGAAAACAATATATATATTTATATCTGTCATCCTCGTGATGTCTGTGCCATAGAAAATGCTGTGGCTATATTGCCTTTAATTTACAAAAAAATGGTCACCAGAAAATCTGAAGGGGGGGAAAAAAATGGAAAACAGAGTTTGGTCCCCAATCATTTCTCTCGTTTTTAAAAAAGGCCTCCAAATTAAAAAAATACGCAGTTCGGATGAAATTCGTATATAAAAACAATCCTTATCTCCCGAAAAATTCACGAGGGCCAGCTTAGCGTCACGTAAACTTCAACCAAAAAAAAAAATCTTAAAATAAATTCTGTCTCCTTGCGTGGTTTAATAGAACCATTATTTGCTTGTAATATTCTTTTTGTCTCTCAGGGTTCAACAGGAAAGCAGGTGAGAGGAGGCTCAAGACTGGCAACTGCCCCACGAGATCCGTGCCCGCAGCCTCCCGGGCTCAGGGGGGATATCTGACAGCCGGGCTGGGGAGCAGAAGCTGTCAAGAATCCCCGTCACGCCAGTGAGAAGAACGGAGGGCAAGTGAAAAGGGAAAGGTGCTTGCCACTGATGAGCCTGGCATCGGCACCTGGCAAGGTCACCCCGGCTGAGCCCCAGGGAACGATGCAATTCTCGAGGGAAGAGGACCGTTTGGAAGCAGGGCACAGCCGAAGGGAGGCAGGGGGGCTGGAATAATTTCAGCTGGGGAATGCCACAGATGGGCAAGATCTTCAGGCGAGAAGGAAACTGCTGTCTTCCCTGTTTGAGAGCATTTCTAATCTTTCCTCATCTGAGATTGTGTGAAGCCAGAGGCTAATGGACAGTGCAAGCACAGGCTGGAATGGAGGAGGAGAGACGGACGGAACAGAGGAGGTGGGAGGGGAGGACTCAAGCTGAAGACCCATTTTCCGTCTTCTGTCTCTTTGGATCCACTTCATTCTAGGTAGGACACGGAGGAAAGAGGAGAGTTACCATCAAACAGTCATCACACCCAGGCACAACATTTCCCCACACAGTTCTTGCAGCGTTCCTCCACGTGGAAATCTCCGTTTGGCCCAGCCTACGGAGGTTCCTCTGCGGAGGATCCGAGTGCCCGGCACAACTGTCCTGTTGACAGTCACAATTAAGGCAGGGACAGCTCCATACGGAGGGACAGCCATGCTGTGACTCTCGGGGGGGGTGCAAGCAGCCCAGGCTCACATCACTTCAGTCAGGCCCTTTCAAGTTCACCTTCTGGCCTGGTGCCCAGAAGCCACAAGTGCGTCCTCACCCAACACACTCCCAAGCGCCCTGACTCCCGAACACTCAGCACCGTGACTGCTGGTGGAAGGGCCTCGATCCTACAAGGAATCTTCAGGGGTTTACTGTCCCCTTGCCACATCAGATTTGTTTACTGAAGCAGCAGCGAGGCCCGAGGCCAATCTGAGACGCTCAGCAACAGCATCCACATGGATCTGGTCAGCACAGAGCAGGTAACCTAGCTCCTTCTCACCTTACTCTCACGCTATCACTCACCTCTTCCTCCTCTGCAGTTCGTTTTTCTGCGTGACCATCCTGCTCTTGCCCATTCTCATCTCCTTCTGAGCACCAGCAAGAGAGGAAATCAGTGGTTAACTGAAGTAGCATTTAAGGTAATGTAATTTCACAGTCAGAAGAAGAATGTCCCTCAATAATCTTCTATTCCCCCACAACCTCATTCCCCCATTCTCCCCATACCCGTTATTCCTACCTTCATCCTCATCACCACCTTCTTCTTCATCCACATCATCAGGATTCTCTTCCTCATCCTCTTCAGCTCCGTTTTCCTCATCCTGAGTGAAACAAATTGGTCAGAGCAGAAACTGGCACCAGGACAACATTCCCACGAGCTCTTTGCTGCAAGTGCAAGAGCGATCTCCACAGCCCCAGCCACTTCAGACTCCAGTCTCAGACATCCATCGCGTGAGTGATCCTGTTACTCAGACACCATCATTCCCACAATGACAGATTGTGGGAATCCTCCTCCCAACCAGTCTTCTTTCTGAAACCAATCCTTCCAGTCCCTCCCCATGACAGATGAAACCCTCCTCCCAACCAGTCTTCTTTATGAAACCAATCCTTCCAGTCCCTCCCCATCCATACGAACCTCCCTGACTTCCACAAGCTTACATCCCGACAAGCTGCTGACCCCCCATCCCAACCATCAGCGTATCTCTCTGGTTACAGGCTAATGGCTCAGCCCGTGCTCCAAGTTCATCTGCTTCCAGATCTCTTCTGACCGTTATCAATCTGCGTGTTTCCTCACCGTTCCCGCCCTCACCTTCTTCAACTCCCACTCCTTGTGCACCTCAGGATACTGCAGTAGGTGCAGGACCACGTCTCCCGTGCCATCTCGCTCCTCCTTGCCCCTGACACCATCCAGTTCTTTCATCTTTTTCCTCCTCCCTGGGCCATGCTGACTATGCCAAATCCTTCAAGGGTGATGCTCCACAATTATCCTGCAGCTTGCTTTTCCTCTGCCCTTCTCCCTCATGCATCCCACTGGCCTGCCTGCTTCCCTAAGCTCCTGGATCCTCTGCCCATCCACCACGAGCCACGCTACCCACCTCTTCCCAAACCCTCCCCGACCCCTCTCACTCAACCTACCCCTCAGAAGGGCCTCACCTCTACTGCCTCCTTCTTCTTCTCTTTGTGGATTGTTTTCTCCTCAAGTTTTTCCTTCTTTTCTTTCATTTCCTACAAGCAAGGCGAGGAAAACACATTCCAGCGGTCAGTGAGGATGCTTAAACAAAAGAGGGTTCGGAGGAGGCGCCGAATGAAGGGGGAGGACGGATGTTAGACGTTAAATCTGCCCTCCGCGACAAAGAGAAAGCAGGGAAAATACGTCAGAGCTACTTTTAGCCCCCACACATGTGGAAACCAGAACTACGGAAGAGTTTTAAGGGGTTTTAGAACCTCGGTCCGCGCCATCGCGGCGTTTCCGGCCTCCCCACGCCGCGGGGTGAGGGG